ACTTGCTCGAGTGAAAGCGAAGTGCCATTTCAGAATGGTAAACCTCACTTCAAGTGGAAGTGCCCCTTCAACCGCCCTTCTGTAAGTGAAGGGTCGCCCTTCACTTGGCATGACTCGGAGTGACATCTATGAATTCGGCGGTTAGTACCATTTTTCCCTTTATTGGCCCAGCATAATCAATGTGTATTCTTGACCAATTTTCCTTGGTCTCGGGCCAATTAACTGGCTCTTTCGCACTTGGCATAGGCATAGCTTGAACACATTCCCTGCAAACTGCCGCCTGGCTTTCAATTGCCCTGTCAAGACCAGGCCACCAGAACTTTGACCGCGCGACCGCTTTCATTGAGGATGCTCCTTGGTGGGTTTCATGAAGCAGACTTAAAGGGACCATGAAATGATTTTAAAATCGAGTTTCATCCACAGCACGTCGTAAAAGGTGTGAAAAGAAACACAAAAAGACAAAAATAGGGAGCCAAAAAAAAATATTTGCTATAGAACTTTTAAAATAAAACTGGACTCTTTTGCGCCTTCCTTCCTTCGCCTGTTCACTACGATGCATCCGCGGAAATGGAGCACGTCAGCCAAATCCAGGTCACCTATTGGGTAAGAGCCTACCTCACCAGCACCGCGATCGTAAACAATAAATAGCCGGCGAATGCTTCCTAAAAGTTTTGTTAAATAATATTCAGATCCACATTTTGTAGCATAATTAGAGATGTGTGGCGAAAATTACCGAATTTGATAATGCTGAGAGCCAAGCGCCATCTATCGTGTGGTAAACGAAGCAACTACTGCGCGTGCGCAGTAGGGCAGGGCCGACAGTTACTTGGGTGGCGGCGACCGTCGAACGTTTATTTCCTTTGTTTTCCTTCCTCTCAAAACTCTGACTGACTGAACGTTTATTTTTCTACGTGTTCTTCCCGCGCGTGCCGACTTCAAGCAGCAAGTAAACAGTACTTAAAACAGACCACGACGAACAAGAACGCTGGATCCACCGACTCCGACGAAGCGAGCTGCTCAGAATATAGGCCTAACAGGCATTCCGACTCGGCGCTGCGTTGCTTCGTCGCAAGACCGTCTGCCTACGACCGGCTGGCGTGCTAAATGGAATATGCCCGCGCGACCCTTGTGGACCCTTCCCGTATTATAGTTTGATCACTGACCTCAATTCTAGATTAAGAGGTGAGGTCAATCTCTTCCCCTTGTTTTCCGAGGCAGTGCTGACGAACACTCGTCGAAAAGGGACTCTCGTCGATTCTATCTTCTTGTTTTGTGTGATATAGAGCTGAAATAAACGCCGTATGGATTACCTTCGTAACACGGTATGTACACTTTGTTATTGGTATGCCATTTTTATTCTGACAGACTGCACGTCACTGTCGAGCTATAACAGTTCGTGGGAGGTATACGTACAACCCCGGTCCAACCTTTCTTTGCCGAGTGTCGCGTCAGTATCGAGTTGCAATCGTAAAAGAACGGTCCCGAAGCGCTTACAAACAGCGCGAATACAGCACTTCCATCAAGCGCGCGCGTCCGCTCCGAGTGTAAACAGGTATTTACGTGGCTCTTGCTGACACTCGTAGTTCAAACGTATCTTTTTTAACGTCGGCTCGCTCCTGCATCTCCGAGGCCGCGAAAAACGCCATCTACGTCGCTTTGCAAACGACTGACACTGGCCGGCCCTTCTGCCAACAATGACAGGATGGTTGACTTCTGGAGTCTTCACCGGAAGACTCGCTGCATTTCCCAACAGTCATACCGGCGTATGGGACTAGTCCCATGCTGTCGCGGTAGCGCAACATATCTCATTGAATTTCGCTCAGCTGCGATGCGGCGATGAGAGGCGCCGATTCAGGAAATACGTCGGTGACATCAGCGCAGTAAAACCTACCGGCGCACCCAAACTCGTTGCCGCTAACACTCCCATTGTCCTACTGCCGAGAGAACTTCCGGTTCCGGAAACGGCCTACGTCACGGCTTGTTTTGCGGTCAGTTGGAGAGAATGAAAAAGTCGATATTTCAATAATTTTTTGTGTAGAAGTTAATAAACCGAGACGAAAACGGATGCCTGTTCGGCATTCAGTGAACATTGACGGTTTAATGTAAAAGTTGTCTGGAAAAAGTAAAAAGGTCATTTCATGGTCCCTTTAACAATCGTTCCCTCGCCTTTGCTGGAATCACGACCCGGTGACCCCAGTACACGAGGTGCTGTGCTACTGAGAGCTCGAGCTTCTTGTCATAGAATGGTTGTAATTCGACTTCTAGGTGCTTTCGGCTCCTTGGCCATCCATCTAGGATGTGTCTTTTAACTTTTAGGAGCCCGTCGTCACCGGCAGTCAGGTCTTTCAGTTCTCTGGTGGTTACGGTCCCTTCGTCAAAATTATGTAGTGCTAAAACATACTCCGGAAGCTCCATTGAGCTGCATGATTCCTTAGACGTCGGTAGCGGTAACCGGCTTAAAGCGTCTGCGTTGAACATCAGTTTACCAGGCTGGTAGTCCAGCTTGTACTGGTAGCCCCCAAGCAGCAGTGCCCAACGCTGGATCCTTGCAGCAGCCATGGCAGGGGTCGGCCGGCCCGGCTTTAGCAATCCCAGGAGTGGCTGGTGGTCGGTGACCAAGGTAAACTCTCTGCCCAAAAGGTAATCGCGGAACTTGTTCACACCAAAAATGAGAGCGAGTGCCTCGCGTTCCAACTGGGAGTAATTTTTTTCCGCAGCAGTTAAGGTACGTGAGCGGAAACCGATCGGCCTGTCCTCCTTTCCTACACGGTGAAACAACACGGCCCCAACACCGTATGGTGACGCGTCACACTCCAAGCGCAGTTCTTTCGCTGGGTCGAAATGGGTCGACACGTTTCCTGTTGTTAAAGCTTTCCTTGCTTTCATAAATGCCTCGTCCTGTGCCGGCCCCACGCCCAACGACAACCCTTCTCTAAAAGTTGATACAGCGGTGATAGCTGTGTAGACATTTGTGGTAGAAATCTGCTGTAGAAGGTCAACATGCCGATAAATGAGCGCAGTTCACTCACGTTTTTCGGACACGGAGCCCCAGCGATGACCTCAAGGTTCTTTTCTGTTGGGTGCAGTCCCTCTCCGTCAATCTGATGGCCAAGGTAAGTGACCGATTCCTGCCTGAATCTGCACTTTTCCTTGCGCAACTTCACCCCGTGCTCTCGGAATCGCTGCAAAAGACATTTCAGTTTTGTTCCATCGTTAGAGCTTTGTTCCGAAAGTATGACGTCATCTAAGTAGACCTGCACATCTGGAAGACCTTGGAGGACACATTCTATCTTGCGTTGAAAGATAGCGGGCGCTGAGGCTATTCCAAATGGTAATCGGTTATAGCAAAAGAGGCCACGATGCGTGTTAATAACCGCAAGCTTCCGCGATTCCTCATCGAGAGGCACTTGGTTATACGCGTCCCGCAAGTCCAGTGTGCTGAAACGGTCACCGCCATTCAGACAAGCAAACATGTTCTCGATAACCGGGAGCGGGTACTGTTCTAACGCACAAAAAGGATTCAGTGTCACCTTAAAATCCCCACAAATACGTACGGATCCATCTTTTTTTAGAACCGGCACAATGGGCGTAGCCCATTCAGAGTAGGCAACTGGTGAAATAATGCCGGCCTGTTCGAGCCTATCCAACTCCACGGATACTTTCTCTCGTAAGGCAAACGGAATAGATCTTGCCTTGCAAAACCTTGGAGTTGCTCCATCCTTGAGGTACAGATGCGCAGGTGGTCCCTGAATGACTCCAAGCTCTGGAGAGAAGAGGTCTTCGTACTCGTCCAGTAGACTCTGGAGACCTTGCTCCTGCTCACAGGGAGATTTCGGGATTGCTGTCAGGCTTAAAACAGGTACGTCACGTTGATTCAATTTCTGAATCAAGTCTCGTCCGCACAAACATGGACCTCGGTAATCCACGACGGTCAATATACCCTGTACGGTAGTCGACTGGTATACAACTTTCATGGTTAACTCTCCGATAACTGGAATTGATCCCATGTAGCAACCCAACTTCACTTGAGGCTTTTGAAGTCTTGGCCAAGTTTTCCGATGCCTTTCGTACATTTCTCTCGTTATGACGCAGACAGGTGACCCCGTGTCAATTTCCATGACCAGATCAATTCCACCCCACGTGAACGTGCGTCGCACTGGCGGCACAAGCTTCCTTTCTTTTAGGGTTATCAGATTCCAAATCTGTGTGGTCAGGCTGTCGTCATCTTCGTCCAGAGACTCTACTGCTTGTAGTTGGTTGTTTTGTCCCTTGGCACTCTTAGGGTTACGACACTTGCGAGCCAAATGCCCTTGCTTGCCACACTGGAAAGATTTTGCTTTCTGCCATTTACAGTTGCTACTGCTGTGATTGGCATTACCGCAACGTTCGCAGCCTACTGGTGAATGCAGCGATGTCCTGGCAGCGGGAGGCATTGTAGTGATCTGTGATAAGTGATTTTGCCACCAGATGGCGCAACGTGTGTTCTGTTTAGTATGCTTTGATGGTGAGTTTATCGGGTTGTCTTATCTTGTTGTTATGTGTGTTTATGCATCTATGATGTCACGTGACATATGTTAATAAAAGAGCCGCCGTCCGTCAGCGACGTCAGAGAACTACGGGACACCCAGCAGGCAACATGTCTTTGTCTCATTCTTCGTAAGCCCCGAACGCGCGGGGCCGCGGCTTCCTACCCGGCCACATCATGTGAGTGCTGTTAGCGTCCTCTCCTTTCGTACCGCCGTGTAGAGGAGATTACTACAAATTTTGGCGACGAGGTGGTTCACCGTAGTTCTCTCCGCGTCTCGGTGCACTGGCCGTCAGAGCCGACGCGATTTTTTTTTCTTCTTCGATCCATTTCGTTTCACTTGGAACACGTTCCATGGCTAGTCAGAATGGGCCCTGACAGCTGCTTCCCTTCAGCATGCGTCTCGTGACAACGTAAGATGTGAGTTTGCACTGTTTTTGCATCGTTTCCTACAACCTTCTACAACATACATATAATGGATAATGGAACACAATCTCCTGTAGCTGTCGGCACGTCAGCGCTCGCGCCGGTTCCATCACCGCCCGACTTCTTGCCAGTTCCGGGCAAGCCCGAGCGTGCATGGCCCGCGTGGAAACGTGCTTTCTTGATGTTCCTTGAGGCGTCCGGCTTGGACAGTGTTGCGCCTAGTCGAAAAAAGGCGATCTTGTTTTCCATGCTTGGGGCTGAGGGCCAGAGAATTGTTGACGCTTTTCAGCTCGATGAGACTCCCGCTTCCGAGGAAGGCGATGTTTTTGAAGTCTTTTTGAGTGCTATCGAGAAGCACTTTGAGTTTTCTGGGTGTATCGCGCTGGAACGCCAAAAGCTTCGCGCTCGCGTCCAACGCCCGGGAGAAACCGTCTCGGAGTACTTGACCGCTCTGCGACGCCAAGGGTCTTTTTGTTCTTATGGAGACGCTTTGGAAGAGAGGCTTGCTGAGGTCTTTTTGGAGGGGTTGGACTCTAAGCGGGTCCAAGACCGCATCCTTCGAGAGTGTGTGCGGACGGGGGTACCCACTTTAACCCGTGTCGTTCAGCTCGCGCTGCAGTACGAGCAACTTGCGCGCACCACAGAAAGCTTCCACCTGCGAGCTCCCAGTGCTAGCGGTACGGCGCCGGCAGCCGTTGAGCGCGTCTTTGCGCACGTGCCCATTGGAACGCCGGACGTCCAAGATGGAGGTCCATGGCCGGCTCCTTCCCGAAGTCGGTGGCAATATGGCCGGTCCGGCGTCACGTCCAGTCACGTGCCCCGGACTTTACAACACCACCCACCCCAGCGTCTGCGCTACCCTCCTCCTTCAAGGCACGGAGATGAAGGAGTCGGTGTTCCCTGCTACTTCTGTGGTCGACGCGCCCACAACCGCAACGAGTGTCCAGCGTCTGGTGTGGCATGTTTTTTGTGTGGAAAGACGGGCCACTTTGCGGTGGTTTGTCGGAGTCGCCGCCCACCGTCGGCGGCCTTCGTCAGTGACCCGCGGCGAACGTCGTTCCCGAGCCGTGGCCAGGGCTCCGGCCGTTACTTCGCTGCCCGACCGTTTTCACGGAATGTGCCGTCAGGAGGTAACGATCCTGTGAACATTGTTGGGCCATCCCTGGTGCCGGAGATGCTGCCGAGCGTCCCCGTTGAGTCGGCCGAGCAAGCAGCAAGAGGTGTTTATCGTCGGGATGCCTTCATGGCCGACATCAAGGTAAATACAACCCCTCTTCGTCTCCTTGTCGACACTGGCTCTTTTGTGTCCATTCTGAATGAACGAGAGTTTAATGAAGTACAACGGAGTTCCGACATTCGACTATGTCCGCCCTCGAAAACTCTTGTTCACTACATGCAAGACACTATCCCTGTGCTTGGATGCTTCACCGCTCAAGTTGTTTTTTTAAGGATCGTTATGCACCGTTGGAGTTTTTTGTCACCCGGACTGGACGATCGCTACTTGGCGTCGACGCCGTCCGAGCGTTGCGCATGAGATTATCAGGAGATGAAAATGATTATGTTTGTTCGCATGTTGATGCAGCTCAGGGAGGAGGAGTTCCACGGCAGTATGTGAAGTCGGTGGCCCCCCTGCAGCGACGGCCGTTCACCATCACGTCCTGCCAAAACCGCCAACCGGCCGGATCCAGAGATGCAAGGTCCCGGTCATCTTCTTTTGTACCTTCGGGTGCCAACGTGTCTACATCGTCATCGGTCTCGGAAGAGACCACTCCGAAAGTTCCCGCGGACTTTGACCACGATTCGTCGACAGCCGCGATTCCGCGACGCCATCCTGAGAGCCATGGGCTTCCTCAACCACATCTTCCTGAAAACACAAGTCCTGAGAATACAAGCCATGAAATCACAGCACAACTGCTACACCATGAAAATACAAATGCATCTCAAGTCTCAAGTCCTTTTCTTCCAGATCAGTCCAAGTTGCCCAAAGGCTTCGAAGAATTTGAACATCTCTTTAGTCCAGGTTTGGGTTTGGTCAAGAATTCCACCCATACTATCAAGCAGCGTTGCAACGTGCCACCGGTACAGTCCAAGCTGCGCCGTCTTCCGATGACCCTGAGGGATGCTGTCTCGGAAGAGATTTTCAGACTGGAGAGAGAAGGTGTGATCGAGAGAGTCGATGCCTCCGAGTGGGTTTCACCTATCGTCGTCGTTCGGCGGACTGACGGACGTATCCGGATGTGTGTTGACATCCGTGCGCCAAATCAAGCGGTGGTCATCGATTCTTTCCCGCTACCCCACATCGATGAACTACTGGGTTCCTTGCGTGGTGCCAGTTGCTTCTCCAAGCTGGACCTGGCGTCCGCTTACCACCAAGTTCGTCTCGACCCGGTGAGTCGTGATCTCACTGCTTTTATCACGCATGAGGGACTGTTCAGATTCAAGCGCGTTTGTTTCGGGTTGGCTTCGGCACCTGCAGCGTTTCAAAACATCATGTCAAAAATCCTGAAGGATTGCAAAGGAGTCCAGTTTTACCTTGATGATATAATAGTCTACGGTGCTACGCAGGCAGAACACGACGAGAATCTGCGTCAGGTCCTCTCTTGTATCTCCCGAGCCGGGATGAAGCTAAATCGTAAAGGTGTTTTTCGAGTTACAGAACTTTCGTTTCTGGGACACCATCTTTCCGCGGAAGGACTAGCACCCCTTTCCGCTAAGGTAGATGCAGTCCTGAATTTTGAAACGCCTACCGAACCAGCAAAGCTGAAAGCATTTCTGGGACTTGTTGAATATTGCAGTAAATTTATCCCTCATTGCTCAACTGTCGTAGAGCCCATGCGTCGTCTTCTCCGTAAAGGAGTTCGCTTTCACTGGTCCCCGGAAGCCGAGGCCAGTTTCCAAAATGTAAAGGATTCCATAAAAAGTGCTCCGATTTTGTCGATGTTTGATCCAACACTTCCTATCGTTTTGGCTACGGATGCATCTAACTATGATCTTGGGGCTGTGTTACAGCAACAGTACGGAAGTCAACTGCGTCCTGTCGCTTTCGCTTCGCGCTCGTTGACTGATGCCGAGCGGAGGTATTCAACAGGTGAAAAGGAGGCGCTGGCCTGTTTGTGGGCCTGTGAGAGGTGGCATGTGTATCTGTGGGGTCGGTCCTTTGTGATACGAACAGACCACCAAGCTCTAGTCGCCCTGCTTTCTAACAAGGGGTCTGGGATCCGCCCTTTGAGGATCACCCGGTGGACAGCCAGACTGCTTAATTATAATTTCACTATTGAATATCAGAAGGGATCTGCGAACCTGGTTGCCGATGCTTTTTCACGGCTACCCGTTAACGACACGGAGAATGGTATGGAATTTACCGAGGAGGTAGTTTCTCTTATCACAGTCCCCATGTCCAAACTCGCATTTCAACAAGCTACGGCTAATGACACTATCCTTCCATCTGTAATCCGGTACACTACCACGTCCTGGCCGGAGGGTAATGACATCCACACCGACTTGCGACCGTTCTTTCAAGTGCGTGAGCAACTTTCACTGTATGAAGGTATCTTGTATCGTGGAGAAAGGCTCGTGCCGCCATCAACACTCCGTGACAACATCATCCATCTTGCACACGAGACACACCAAGGAATATCACGAACAACAAGCCTCATACGTGAACACTATTGGTGGCCCCGCATGAACCAGGAGATCAAAACAAAAGTGGAAAATTGTACGGTGTGTCATTCGACTGATAAACCTGTAAAGGCCGCACCCGCTCCGTTGCAGCCCATAAAGTTCCCCGACCAGGCTTTGGAAAAACTTGCTGTCGATATCGTAGGCCCTATCGACAGGGCGCCACAGAGTCAACGGTTTTTCATTGTCTTGATAGATTATCATTCGAAGTGGCCTGAGGTGCAGTCTGCCGCAGCAGTAACGTCTTCAACTGTCATTTCCTTTTTGAGAAATGTGTTTGCTCATGAAGGACTTCCCTGTGAGCTTGTTACAGACAACGGGGTACAGTTTATGTCCAAAGAATTTCAAGACTTCCTTCGTGAAAATGGCATAAAACATTTGAAAACGTCCTTGTATCATCCACAATGTAACGGTCAGGTGGAGAGATTTAACCGTGTTCTCAAGACGTGCCTTCAGGCAGCTATAGTTCAAGGCCGTCCTCTTATAGACGCTGTTCGAGACCATCTCGAAGCGTACCGCCGTACGGTACATCCTGCGACGGGGTTTGCCCCTTCACTTTTATTGCATGGCCGGATCCACCGGTCTAAACTAAACCTCCAAGGGATGCCTACAAGGCAGGTTCCTGATTTCGTTTTACAACAACGTGCTCTTCTTCCCGAGAGGGTTCAAAGTTATCAACAAAACATGAAGTCATATTGGGATCACCGGAAGGCTGCCAAACGGCCACAGTTCTCCGCCGGTCAAGCCGTGCGCGTGTTCAAGCCCACACATCGTGGCAAACTTCAATCAAGGTATACACAGTCAAAAAAGGGTTGAAGCCCAGCTGGGATCAGCCACGTACAGGCTCGATGATGGAAGGACCTGGAATGCCAGTAAATTGACGAAGGCGTCTGCACGGCCTCGTGAGGGAGATTCCGACATCTACTCGGACGAGGAAGATTTTCGTGAACTCTCCAATAGTATTCCTTCACTTCCACTTCCAAATGTCCTCGCACCATATATAGATCAAAATGATAGTATTCCACACAGTATACCTGAAAGTCATACAGTTCCTGATCCGGGGCCACTGCTCGTCCCCGGTGCTTTTGACCCTGGGCCTCCTCAATCTCCACTGGCTGGCGAGTCTGGGCCGACGCCTGGGCAACCTGGATGTTCCTGGTGGCCCGACACCGAGCCTCCGGCTGCGCTCGGAGATTCCGTGCAGCCTGCTTCCCCAGAGGAACCAAGTCCTGGCGAACCAAGTGGGGCTCCCCAGCAGGTGGAGGTACCCTGTGACCCAGTGGTTGTGCAGTGCGACCCTTCAAGCCGTGATTTTTTTTTCGTATCCCAGCCGTCAGTGACTTTGGCAACCCCATTGGCTACTAGTACTCCCCTACGACCACAACGAAAGAAACGTCTCCCAGCAAAGTTGAAAGACTATGTCATGTCTTTCATTTCTTCAGATGACTCAAATATGGAAAGTGAACAGAATTCATTTATCGACATTGTTTAACGCACAGTTGTTGTTTTGGAGACTGTTTGGAGTTCCCGTGTGGAGTGTTGTCTTCAGGTCCAAGAGCTTGTTTTTGCAGATGTCTTTCCATGTGTTTCTTATATTCCTCCAAATGTCTTCAATGAGTCTTTGTTTTGCATCCTTACATAGCACTATGTCATAGCATGTAATAATGAAAATGCTTTAGGTATCCTTGGCCAAGGTAAAAAGATGTCCATGACAAACACAAACTCTTGACAACACCTAACCACTAACAATTACTAACGTACACTACACCTGTGTCATGGACATCAAAACAGGAAAACAAAGGCAAACAAACTTCAGTCCAAATCTGTAGCAACTCGAGGTAGGCTATAGGGAATCGGAGACTGTGTTTGTATCTGATGTAGAAACTGTCTATGGTTTTTGTCATACTGTGGTGACATGGATGAAAAGAGCTACGGTACTGCTCAGCGTCGACCAGACGATCTGCCGTCTCATTGCCAGGAACGCCGCTGTGAGCCGATACCCGGTTCCATATGTTACAATTTTTTTAACAGACAAGGGGAGAGCTTTGTCTTTATTGTGGTGAAATTCGAATTGTGTTTTGTGCTTTGTTTCCCTCCGTTTCTTTTTAAAAATTTTAAGGAGGGAAGTGTGTAGTGATCTGTGATAAGTGATTTTGCCACCAGATGGCGCAACGTGTGTTCTGTTTAGTATGCTTTGATGGTGAGTT